ATGAGATGATCCCCAGAGGTCCCTCCCAACCCCACCATGCTGGGATCCCTTTGCAGTCTTCATTGCCAGAAGTCAAGTAGTTTCAGTTACTTCATGAACTTATCTGCAGTTACACTACGAGGTATTCCTACAAGAAAAGTACCTAATTTTTCTAAGTGCCCACACAAACATTCCTGGAATCTCAAGTGTGGGGTTACTCTCGTTCCAGTGGAATAGCTCTCTTGAAAGCAGATGAATGAGGAAATCACTCCTGGTAATGCATCACTAGTGACACAGATCTTTGCATTCCTAGTGGGTGAAGGTTGGGGATGCACAAGGAGCCAGACCTACAAAACCTTCCTCACAAAGCCCTCCTCAGCTAGCAGGTGTAAGGATGCCCTGAAGAGAGCCAGATCACTCATCTGCACCAGCATGCCAGAACTATAAACTGTTGAGACAAGTGGGTTTCTATCTCCCAGTTTGCTGCTGGCCTTCACCTCTGGATTGTTTTATGCCAGTGAAAGTAGAAAGGAAATATTCCTGCTCTGAGTTGGTTGCATTTTATACTCACTTCATGGGTAGAGTGGATGCTCTGATCTATCAGTGTATTTCTGACTGGGAAAGCAGGGAAGCATCTCTGTCAATCCTCACCAAATGCAATGCTGAGAGCTCTGGATGACCTCCCATTCCAGAAACGTGTTGTAGGCCAGATGTTGGTAAGGATTCTACACAGTTCTGACCTGATCAGCTCTTCCCATCGAGGAGGGCTGTGGTGGGTTACCTGCAGTTCATACGAGGCTTTTAAAACCACCAAAAAAAAATGAAAATCCGGGACATTTCCAAGTCATTTGTGACTTCTGCCAACCAAAAGGATGTGCCACAAAGGGTGATTTTTGGATGCCTCGTTGTCCACCTAAACAAATCTGCATTTCAGCTGCCTTTGGGGCTTGTTTATTTTATAAGTCACAGATAATTCAAGGAGTTATGTGTTTTCACCTTGTTGAGCTGCCTGCTTTTTGGGAGTCAATTCTTTTTTGTGCCAGGCATAACATCCAGCTCCAGGGCTTTTTACTTTGTGGTTTGTATTTATTTTCTACACCCTAGACTCTTTTTTTTTTTATCTAGATCACTCACCTGCAGCTAGAGTTCAGCAGCTATTTATTTTGAGTATGCAGAAGCCTTGTAAGATCTAACCTGTGATGTTGGTTTTGCCATCTGATAACGTGTGATCAAATGGGGCACGTTCAAATAACAACATCTGGGACAGGAGGACAGCAAAGCAGCCACGAGACAAACATCTCTACAGATGAGATAAGGTGGAGGAGATGCAGCAAAGCTGGATGGCTCCCTGGATCAGAAGTCCTTGCACTTCTCTGCAGAGATATTCCAGGCACGGGATTTCCTTCGTGCCACGGGGCTAACAGATAGCACTGTGTTATTTTTGAGGTGGTTTTGTATCTTGTAGAGACTTGTGGCTTTGCAAAGTGAGTGTAATACACCGAGGATGATCATATTGTTCATAACTTGCAGGAGTTGTATGGGGGTAGGTAAACAGAAACAGATTCCACAGGGAATTGTCTCATTCTGTATTCTCATGCTGCCTTCCACATTGCCACCTCTTCTCCCTAAACCTCTCCACTGCCTTTTGCATCAAGGGCTGCCTCTCCCTTCTGCCCAAGGGAGCAGAAAATAATTCAAATTATTAAAATTTAAAAAAAAAATTAAAATGAAAATGACTTTTACAGTTCATTTTCCAAGCACCACAATGGTTTTTTTCACTTTTTTTTTATTAATATGCAAAAAAAAAATAACCTTATGTTCTAAAACAACCTCAAAGCCATTATTTCTGCCTCTCACTTTTGCCTCTCTTTTTGCAGGAGGATGTCACCAACCCTGAGCCTCACGAAGACAAGAGAAGCCTCTGGGTGTCTGAGCCTGCAGATGGTCCCAATACAGTGAAGAGCAACCTCACTGTACAGGAATATTTTGCCAAAAGGATGGCCAAACTGAAAGGATCTCAGAAGGAAACAGAAATAAAGGGAGGCAGCTCCTGCCCCTCAGCTGAGGAAACTTTGGAGCCTTCAGAAGAACTGAAAACCAAAGTCAAAAAGAAAAAGAAGAAGCAGAAGAGAGATGAGGCAGAGAGCACAGAGCACGGTGAGAAGGCAAAGGTGGAACAGCCTGAGACAGGTAGCGTGGCTGGAGAGGAACTGGATGCTCCATTAAATCCCCATGTCTCAGGGAAAAAGAAAAGGAAGCATAAAGAGGAAGGGGAAAGCATTACTGGTGATGAAAATATGGGCAGTGGAGAAATTTATACAGGGCTGTGTGATGGGGGAGATCCTGGCATGAAGGACTGTGAGAGAAAGCAAAAGAAATGCCATAGGAAGAAGCACAAAAGGCAAAAAGAGCAGGCAGAGGAGGGTATAGAAGGAGGGCAGAGGAAGAAAAAGAAGCACCACAAGCACATTTAACCATGTCAGGTCAAGGTGGGACTCTGAGGTGACTGGAACTTCAGTGTGTCAAGAAGAGAAGTCTGTGTCAATACAGCAGCCAAATGTCCTGTGTCCATCCAGGCTCTCACACTGCTCCACCTCCAGCCAGACCCACAGAGTGTTTAAACACAGCTCTTCCAACAGCTCTTCTTAAAGAAACCAGCAGGTTCTGACAGCGTGGTGACAGGCCAACATCAGCTTCAGCCTGAAAAGGTCTCCATGTGTACGACCAAGGCTCGTGTGTCTGCAGAGCAAGACTTGCCAAAAAACCAGCAGGCTTTGCCTCTCCCAGTATGGCTGATGGTTCACCCCAGAGCTGAGTTTGAACACAGCAGAGCCTGTGCTGCCTTCAGGTTCAGGCTGGTGCAACTCCATCCAGCTCAGGTAACAGCAAGGAGATCAGGCCTCCTTTTAACCACAGTGGGCAAGACTGGGGAAGGCAGTGAATTAAATAGCTGCTGCTTCACACAGACTGGTTTTCCCAATCCAGGAAAAAAAAAGGAGTCACCTTTCTACTGCCTTTATTATCAAAGCAACTTGTTTTCACTTGTGATAGCCCAGCTCTGCTTCTGGAAGCAGGAGTGGCTTTGCAAAGCTGGATTTTTTCACTGATTTTTTGCAGAGTCGTGTCTGATTTATTTTTTTTTTCCATTGATCTCCTTTTACAGATAAAATAAATGTTGTTCCCTCCCCAACATACTTATTCTAATTAAAGGTTTACATCTGAACGTCAGTACTACAGAATGAAATAAAAATATCTCTCTTGTTTTCCTAACTTTTTGTTAACTATTGCCAAGCAATTGCAGCTTTGCAACCAAACTAAAAGAGCTGAACCTTTAGTAACCACCTGTAAACGTTTGGTTCCCAGGAAGCACTGAGGGCACCTTCAGGGATGCACCTTTCTGGATCATGATGCAACTTTCTGAAATGAAATCAATTAGATTTTAAAAGCATAACTGGTCAGATGTGTTAGCACTGCCACTTGCACTTGGAAAACCTGCAGCTGAGTTCTGTAACCAAATTAGAGCTGGTTTCTAATTGTAAATGGGGAAATAAGTAGTGCTGGAGCTCAGCACTCCCATAAACAGCTTTGTATGAGATCTTCAACAATTTTTGACAGTTAAGAGCTGTCAGAAGAGATGGGTGAGCTTGGAAGTGAAGTGATGGAGTTGGGAAGATGCCTTCACCACCCTGGAGTCCAGTCCTGGTGCTGCCTGGCCCAGAGCAAGCTGCCAGCACGACCCTGAAGGCCAACCAGTTACTGTGACATGATCCAGAGGAGCTGAGCAGCATCCAGACCCAGGAGCTGCTGGTCTGACTGTGGGCCTGGCTGTGTTTCCTTGGTGTAAATGTGCAACAGCCCCTTGGGCTGCTCTGCTGAATACCACGGGGACCTTTTTTTTCTCATTGTCTTAGCTGAGTTGCTTCATGTGGTTTGGAAAACATTGTCAAGAGGCAGATGTTAATAGGAAAAGAATTCCTCAAGCTGCTTTCGTTGTCCAGTGGCAGAAACTGAGGGTGCAGCAGAGTCCACAGGGCTTCAGATGTTTCTCTTGCAGCTGAACTCTTCAGGATCTCGTGGGTTTTAGGGCACTTTTCTCACCCCCAGGACACGTTCACTCACTGCAGCAGGGTCACTGGTACTTTGACTTCATGTAAGGGAGAGCAAGAGGCCTTCCTGAGATGCCTTTCTCTGTGTTTCACCCCAGCACACCAGGAGTTTTTAAGCCTTGTAGCATTTACTTTTCAGTGCTGGGCAAGTTTGGGCCAGATTCCTTTTGGTGGTGCCCAGTGACAGGACAAGGGGCAATAAAACTGCACCAGAGAAGGTTCCAGCACAACATAAAGACAAACTCCTTTGCTGGGAGGGTGCCAGAGCCCTGGAGCAGCTGCCCAGAGAGGTTGTGGAGTCTCCTGCTCTGGAGAGTCTCCAAACCCACCTGGACACCATCCTGGGCACCCTGACCCTGCTTTGGCAGAAGGGTTGGGTGAGATGATCTCCAGAGGTCCCTTCCAACCCCCACCATTCTGTCATTTTTGATGCTAAGCACCTTCCCTGGTTTCCTTAGATGAAATACCACTTCATACCATGGGCTTGCTGTAGAGTTGTGGGTAAGCTCCATGCTTGAGGTGAAGAAACTGTTTTGTCAATGGAGGAAGACAGAGAAATAATTGTTCATGTCACACTGAAGCATCCCAAGCTTTGTGGGCCCCCTGCAAAGCAGCCCTTCTAATTTCTTGCTCACCACAAGCCTGGGCTTTTGTTTCTTAGTAGAAGCCAATAGCCTGACTGATTCCAGTGATATTATTTTAACTTTTAAGCAGCTAAACTTGACAGTCTCTCTGGGATTTCAATTTAAAATGGTGCTCGTCAAGGACTAAGTTTTTCTTCTCCAGATCCTGCTGCTCTTGTTTGTTCATTCTCTGTATTAAGCTTCCATGAGTTTCTACTAATTCTTACTAGGTGCTAATTTTTAGGAGCCTTTGGAAAGATTCCTGTGTTAGTTCTAGAAGGAATAAAAACAGAAATCAATTTTTAAATGTATGGGGTTGCTGCAGCTTTGTACAATCTACCCAAGGTTTCAGTCTGGCTCAGATTGAAATACCAGCTGCAGATAGAAGCTTCTCTATCTGCACAAGAAGTGAGACTTTCTTTTTATCCCAGGAAATGTGGGATTTTAATGTGCCTCAAGCTGAAAGAGAAACAGCATGTGCAGGATATGGGTTGCAGGAGGAAAAAAATCATAGCAGAGAAGCATTTGAAGCAAGGAATTCGTGGAGCTGCTCTGCTCTGTGTGTATTAGTGGTCAGCCAACTTCACATGACTCAACAGAAAGCTCTTCTTACCAGATAGTGTCCAGTGAAATGGGTGATTGAAACAATGGGAGCATGTTTCAAAGTAATAATTTTGTTGTTGTTGTTGTTTATAGAGGGTTGTGAGTCCAGTTTTAACCAAACTCTGGTTTGGCAAGAAGGTCTTTTTTAGAAAGCATAAGAAAAAAGAATTACATCATTACCCAAAGGGTGAAATTAGCTGGATGGAAGCAGAAGGGAAGGACTTGGTTTCATGTCTGTGAAAAGAAGACTTTTAAACAGCAAGGTCTTTTGTTGCTCACACACTGCAGCTCACAATCACAGAATCCTGGAATCTTTGAGGTTGGAGAAGACCTTTAAGTGCCAACTACGTGACTTGCAATGGCAGTTTTGGGACAGCAACACAGAGCTAAGTGGTGACTTCTGTGCTGGTAGATCCCTGCAAGCACAAAGCTGTATCCTGGGAAGTGAAGGCCATGGAAAAGAAGTTACCAGCATCACACCAAAGTCTGTGTGAGCTTTATGGGCTTCAACTGTGTTGATGTTGCTGTGTCCAACTCTGCAGAGCCTTCCTTCAAGCCAAGGATGGGAGATGGTGCTGGTGCTTGATGGACCAAGGGATAGGATGAGAGGAAATGGCCTCAAGTAGCACCAGGGGAGCTTTAGGTTGGACATGAGGGACAATTTCTTCCCCAAAAGGGTTGTCCAGGGCTGTGCCAGGCTGCCCAGGGCAGTGGTGGAGTCCCCACCCCTGGTTGGTTTTCAAAGCCATGGAGATGTGGTGTGAGGGACACGGGGCAGTGGGGACCTGGCAGTGCTGGGGGATGGTTGTGTGGATTTCAGACCATTAGGTGGGATCTGAGATGCAGCTGCTTTGTGAAATTTAAGAAATTTCACAAATTGATGCTGATCAATATCTAAAGGGTGGGGGGCAAGAGGCTGGGGCCAGACTCTGCTCAGTGGTGCCCAGTGACAGGACAAGGGGCAATGGGCACCAACTGGAACCCAGGAGGTGCCACCTGAAGCAGAGGAGAAACTTCTCTGCTGGGAGGGTGGCAGAGCCTGGCCCAGGCTGCCCAGAGAGGCTGTGGAGTCTCCTGCTCTGGAGAGATCCCAAACCCTCCTGGCTGTGACCCTGGGCACCCTGCTGGGGGTGAGCTGCTGGAGCAGGGGGTGGGATGAGATGATCCCCAGGGGTCCCTCCCAACCCCACCATGCTGGGATCCTGTGAAATGCATTTGTGGGCAGCTCAGCATCGTGTTGAAGAAATTCAATTTTCCTTTATTCCAAAGGTGCTTCTGGTGCTGACTTCTTCCAAATCATCAGCTCTCAGCAAAGAAAATTAGCTGAATGCACCGATGTAATTAACCAGTTTTCTCCTGTTTATACACACAAGATTGAAGCTCTTGAAGCATCCACCTTCAAAAGGCACCATTTACGTCACGAAACCTCCAAACCTGCCAGCACTCAGAGGAGGAAGGAAGCTCCAAGAGGAAAACCACACAAAGCCTGCTGGAAACACTGCCCAGCATCACGCCTATCTGAAAAAAGGATCTTACAATAACGGGTGTCCTCAAAGAGCGTGAGGAGTGTGAGCAGCTGAGGAGCCCTTCCCTGCATCCCTCCGTGTTCCTGGGCAGCAGGAGGCTGGCTGCAGAGCAGGTGATGAATCTCATCTGCAGGGTGTTGGTGGCTGAGGTTGAGGGAGGTTCTCCTCCCCCTTTACTCTGCCCTAGAGAGGCCACCTCTGGAGTGTTGGGTCCAGTGCTGGGTGTCCCAGTTCCAGAGAGACAAGGAGACACTGGAGAGAGTCCAGTGGAGGCTGTGAAGCTGCTGAGGGGCTGGAGCATCTCTGTGCCAGGCCAGGCTGAGAGCCCTGGGGCTGCTGAGCTGGAGGAGAGAAGCCTCAGAGGGGATCTGAGCAGTGCTGAGCAAGAGCTAAAGGGCCCCGGGGGGCAAGAGGCTGGGGCCAGACTCTGCTCAGTGGTGCCAGTGACAGGACAAGGGGCAACGGGCACCAACTGGAACCCAGGAGTCCAAAATCTATAAGCACACTTTTAGTGACATGGGACTGGTGAATGTGGTAAAAACAAAACCCCTTTCGAGGTGGGAAGATGGTTCCAACACCAACATGAAGCTCAATTTCTCAGCAGAACTTTGAGTGC